ATACTTTGCCAGCAGTGTCCTCAATTAAATGTGCAACATTATTTGATATACATAAATAGTGGAGAAAACACCCACTGGCAAGAAGAGCAGGAGACAGAAATATATTTTCAAAGTCTGAGTTTGTTAGGTAATAGTTAGATCTTTTCCACTGAAAGCCTTTTTTCTTTATGAGGTACTTTTTTCAATTTAATTTACACTGAAGCTTTCATGACAAAGGTTTTCTTGTTTCTTTCACAGAGCTGTATTGAAATGTACAAACAGGAGTGAAGGAGAGAAGTGGTTATTTCTGGTCTCTTGCAGGGCAGTTCAGATTCAGCATCTGTCCTCTTGTATAGTTCTATAGGTGACTTTGAGCCTGGCATAGCAAGGTCAAGCATATAGCAAGGCATTTGTTTTTTAACCCAGCATTAAAAAAAGTTCTTATTTTCAACAGATTGTTCTGACATGCATCAAAAGAAAATGAAAAAGCTGTTCTTATCTGACACTAAAAGTCAACTTCTTGTCCCTTTTTTAACCTGCTTTATCTGCTGTGTAGTTACAACAATTCTTCCCAGGCTGTCAGCCTGAAGGTCAGTTTGAGGTCACACTGTAGCCAAGGCCTTGTGATGTGAGCAGACATGACTGCCCACAGAGGATCAGCTCTGTTTGCTCCGGAGTCGCACACAATGCCTTCTTTTGAAGAGTAAAAAGATGTTCATAATGGAGTAAGGAGAGTTGCTAAATCAGTAATTAACTTCCAGTATTCCTCGGATAAATACAGCAGTACTTTCACATCATTAAATACAAAAAGAAGGTAAAGAAATTGGCATGTATGCTGAGAGAATGATGAACTAAAGCAAAAAAAAAAGAAGTATTTTACTTCTCACAGCACTTTAATATCTCTCAAAAGAATTTGCGTAAGACAATGGATGCATTACAGCTGTTCCAAAGTTTAAGTTAAAGTGAAATTGCACAATAAACCTTCATTTTTATTGGGTTTCTTAAGCCCAAAACTGCCAGATTAACTTCTTCTAGACAAGTCACGTTCATGACAGGGTCAAATCATTTTTTAATTTAAAAGTAATTAAAAGTGACCCAAATTTGAAGAGACAACTTCACCTAACATTTACTTGGAGCTTTCTTGCCCACAGTCAACATACTGCTTTTTGAATACTGGATATCTTTATATAGTCCTGAAAAATATGTTTTTGTTGCATTAAAACTCAAGGGGAAAACTTGTTTATGAATTGCATCTGGGCTGAATTGTGGAGACATCCTAAGCAATCACAGCAATAGGTTTTTGCTTGCTTTATATTCTACTGAAAAGAAATGGCCTTTTGTAGTTTATAAGGTCTCAGAGTGTTAACAAAAGGAGTGAATTTGTACCCATGCCTCTTAAAAGCAACACAAATGAGGTGCGGAATGACTTCTAATTGGCAGCCACACTGGTTTAGGCAAGGAACAGCTACATTCTGGCCTAATTTGCCAAGTATTTACAGCAGTTCCTTTTTTCTATTTAAAAGTTAACACAGTTTTTCATTTCTCAAATTATATTATAAGTAATTGGGCAGTTAACAAGATTGTATTGGAAATAGCCCTAAAGAACTGTCCATAAAAAATCTGTTTAATGAAACTTGAATTTGAATAAAAGTTATAGTTTGGTTCCACAGGATCCCAGCAAGCACTCCTGGAATATATCACCTTTGCTGGAGCTTATGGACAAGGAACACAGATGCTCCTCTGCCTCTTATATCCTATATCTCAGTACACAATATTTATTGTGTTGACAGCAATCAATGTTTGGTTGTGTATAAGTGCTTTATTTGGGAGAAAACAGTAGGCCTCCTAACTGACAGGTATATAATAATAATATTTTAGTATTTTGGCATCTTATCAAATAAGGGAGTGAATTAAATAATGACCCAAGAAGATGACCTGGAGTAGCTAATGAAAAACAGGAAGGTAGAATCTCCTGCCTACAACAATGGCAATCTCTTCAAAGTACTGTGGCCACAATGTCCTGTACAGCCAACAACAAAATGCTTTTGAAAGTTGACTCAAATTCTAAAATAAGGTCTTTTGAGGATGAAATTTCACATTCCATAGTCTAAATGAACTGCTGTCAACTTCAAAAGACCTCTCTACGGACAGGATTATGGACAGTACAGCCACTGACACCAAAGTCCCAGCCTTGAAATAATGTTGATGTTACAATGAGATAAATCATTTTGAGCCTTCTCTTGACATAAATTTGTCTTCATATAAGACAAGGTAGTACTAGTTGCTATAGTGCTTCATACATATTATGTAAATGCAAATGAATGAGACTTATAAATCACTCAACTGAAACATTCTAAAACATTTTGATGCACATTTTTTTTCAAATAATACATAAAATTTGACCATACAAGATCAGATGTAGGTGGCTTCATGGACATGGCTAGCACTCAGTTTTGCCTTGTATGCCAGATTATTTCCACAGAAATGGCATAGGAAAACACTTTTCTTTGGAGACAACACTACACTGCAGACTAATGATGAAATTATGTTGTGAGACTTCTATATATGGGTACTAGCAAGTCAACATGGAAAGAAGAAAGCTGCTGGAGGAAGTGCTTTTGTATGGATGCATAAAGTGCACAGCCCTAAAGCCAGAATTTTCACAAAGCAGAAAAAACAAGTTGTAGAAGTCTGAGTAAGAAGAGGAACACAAGAAGGAAAGCCTAGAAGTTGCATAAATAAGAAAAACTGCACCTATCTTTCAAATATCTGCTAAATCCTACTACCTCAGAGATATTTAGGTAGCTACTTTCCAGTAATGTGCATATGAGTTAGACACCTACCTGCCGTTGTAGATCGGGGCCTAACATTCCTCTCCTGCAAGAACACATCTTTCATTTCCATCAAATCCCACTGAACTTAACAGTGACTTAGCACCTGAAGAAGGCAGTTTGGACATGCCAGAATCAAAATACTGCTTAGCTTTTCAAGGCCAACATTGCCCTGTTATGGTAACCTAATGGTTGTGTAATCCTCATCTTCTTTATGCTATAGGGACACCAAGGGTATCGTGCATTAGGGACAGCTACTGTGCAACTAAAGGTAAAATACTGTAATACCTTTAGATATTTTAGGAAACATCATAAAGGCAAACAGGTGAGAAATATAGCACATTTTCAATCCATAAAGTAAAATGTTTGATAATTTCAACATTTTGATCTAGTTCATTTTGTAATTAAGAATGAAGCTCAAACTGAAAATACATATTCTAGGTCCATCATTCAGGTATCTCAGGAGCAACTCTTGCATTAAATAATGGATGATTTAACATCAGAGAAGACACAACATGTATGAGTATATTCATAAGTTCTGTAAAATTCATAAATTCTGTAAAAATTATAGAAGACAAAAAATTAAAATCATCTTCTGCTTTGCCATGTGTCAACCATCTCTGCCTGGGGGGATTCTGAGTTTTTCTCTCTCTGGAGATGTTACTTAAATCTGTGTTTTTCCAATATAAGTCAAACCAGCTCCCTTCTGACGACATGACGAACTATTATTAACCAAGTGTGGTAGTCTGAGGACATCAGGAATTACCCTGGATAAAATGTTTACATTAGGATAACAGAATAAGTAGAATGAAAAGAATCATATACAATATCACAGCATGTTTTACAACTTACTTGGAAAAACACTATAATGAAAACCTATGAATATTCACCTAAGGGTATGTGGTGGTTTTAGGACTTGCCAGATGAAACAGTTCCACAAACTGGTTAAAACCAAACTTTGGCAGTTTAAAATCTCATTTTAGAAAAGCTGTTCGTCTCCAGTTCTGAAGATGCAAACAGACCTTCAAAGTGACTTTTGTGCCCTACTATATGTGTAGTATGAGCACCGCATGCATATTAAAGGCAACAGAAAAGCCATGTGCAGCAAGACAGGATCAGTAAGCCCTCAGGCTGAGCCATGCACATTTATTCTCGAGGTGAAGGCGTTTGTGGCCGTCGCAAGCGGCCACACGGCAGCATCGCAGGAGTATCACCGTGTCACCGTCCTCGGCAGGGCCGGCGGAGGGGGCAGAGCCGGGGGTCCCAGCCCGGCGCATCCCCCCCCACCAGCCCCCCCGCTCGGCGGGGGAGGGCGCCCCCTGGCGGCCCCGGTCGAGAGGGGGCTCCGGGCGGCCGCGACCACCGCGCGCTCCCCGGGCTGCAACGGGGAGCAGAGAAACTCTCGCCTCGCCCGCGCGGCGCGATGCGGACCGGGGCGAAGGGCGGGCGGGAGGGAGGGAGCGCGGCCGCCGCTCCCCCGGCCCCTCCAGCCTCCGCGAGGAGCCCCGAGCCGCCTACCTCTAAGGCGCCAAAGCGGCGGGAGCAGCGCCCCGTTTGCCTGCACCCGCAGGCCGCGGGCTCCGCTGCACCTATGAATATGCGTTATTAATATGCACAAGTAATGAAGCAGCACGTGTGTTGCAGGCAAGTATCACTATGGTATTTGCTTAAAGCACGAAACAGGGCGATGCTTTCAGATGAGAATCGTGCGGGGATCCCAGAGTTCAGAATCTGACAAAGAGCAGTCTGACTTGCAAGCATTTCTTCAGAGGACAAAAAAAAAAAAAAAAAAAAAAAGTTTTACTAATAAATTATCACCTACCTACCCTGCCCGTATTGGCGTCTAAGTCCCGTTTAATTGATGGCAATATGTTAGCACAGAGGAACATATATTTAGACTCGGGGGTTTGGAGAAGTGCTTTAGCAGAGACAAGGTTTAAGCACAAAGCACCACCATCCACACAGGCACACTATTATTCTTAAAAGTCTCGTTGCAAGATCTTTACGATACTTGCATGACACTTGTCTCTTGATACATTCGCCTTGGCTCCCGTAGAATTCCCTTATTCTACAGTAAAAACGTGTCTCCCAAGCGAACCAAGTTTCTTACACAAAGAAAGAAAAATACGCTGCAAAACAAGCACGGGCAGAGCTTGCCCTCCCCCGGGCTATCGCTGCAAGGGGACTTACCTCTTCCACCGTGAGCGGCATGCAGATCCGGTACTCCTTCATGAGCATATTCCTGCTGCCTCGGCGCGGACCAGCCAGCTGCGGGAAAAGTGCTTCTTTCTGTACGGCGGCCACGGCGGAAAGCGGTCACCGGAGCGAATAGCGGAGCCTCTTCTTTCCGTGCGCGCTTGACAACGTGTCCCCGAGAGAGCAGCGCAGCATCCAGGAGGGCTGGCCCAGGCGCGGGGCCGGCGCGGCCGCTCCTTCCCCCGGCTCTTCCTCCCCCAGCCCGCAGCCGGGCGGGCGTCGCGCGCGGCCGCCCCGCTACAAGGAGGTCCCGCGCACCGGGGGTCTCGGCCCAGGCGACGGCGTCGGCGGGCAGCGCAGCGCGGCGGGCTCCCGCAGCTCCCTCAGGACGTGCCTAGAGCGGCGAGAAGGACAAATGAGCCGCCAAGGGCCATTTCAGCAGCAGCGGCGAGAGGGGAGATGCCCAGACAAAGGCTGCGCGCCGGGCCCGGGCCCCCGCGACGCTAACGGGGAGGCGCCGGGATGAGCGCGGAGCCGCCGGCACGAGCGGCCGCCCCGCAGCCCCGCGCCTTACCGGGCACGAGGAGCCTCCGCCGGGGGCGCATTCCCGGCGCGGAGCGGAGCGCGCGCGGCCGAGACACGGGCACAGGATGTGGAGGCCTCACCCATTTCCCCTTCGGCCAGTGCCGCGTTATCAGCCAGCAGATTTTGCAATACAAATAAAAGTGTTTTTCCTACCAGCGGCTCCCTTCCAAGCAGTACATGGAAACTTCAGGAAAAAAAAAAAATGGGCGCTCAATTCTAATTAAAGCATGAAGCCAGAACCATTTAAAGAGTCTTTTTTTCCCTACTCACTAGGCAATTTATGCTAAATCTTTTTTTTTTTTTTTTTTCTTCAGAGGATTTTACACATTATTAAGGCACTGTCTAACACACACAGGAACCCGATTCTAAAACTAGCTAAGGAAACCGGGCTGTTATATAACCTCAGGTGTATCACACAATTTTCGTATTGCCGTTCCTCCCATCTATAGTTGCAATAAAACATGCATTTCTGAGAACCACAGTGCAAGTAATATGAACATGTAAAGCACTGCACAGCTAATGGCAGAACTACACGGATGGGTTTAAATATAACTTTGCAGAAGCCAAAGTAACTACCGTATCTGGGATGGTTAAATGAGAATATGGGTGTAAAATGAAGCATGTGTTTCATAACAGAAAAAGAACAAAACCCCTCAGATTTTCATTGGCTTTGAATGTACATTTCAGAGCTCTATCTGTAATCTTAGCGCAGAGAGAGCACAGTGCCATCTCCTGGAGAAAACTACGGACACTTCCGAAGCGAGTGTGGACACAGGCTGCAGCTGCTCCCGGCGTTTCTGCCAGACCTGCCTGCCTAAATTTTGGCTTTTTATTTTCAGTGACTTGTCAGAAAGTATTACTCTTACCTTTGCAACATGCTGTCTATGATCAGTTGTAAAAATGAGACATTTTTCACTTTTGACCTAGGAAAAGCAAAGCCATACATTAAATCATGCTGAACACTAAGTCCAGATAGACTGGTGTCTAGTCAAGTGTCAGAAAAATGTCACCTCATAAGAGACAGAAAAAAAAATCAAGTTACTTTTTCTTTTTACAGATATTTTACTGATTATTTCTGAATAAAGAATTTAGTTTACTGGAATTGTTAAATAATTCCACCTTGCAGGCAAATATTGCATCTGCTGCTTCCAGAATAACCAAAGAGGTAAAGGAAGGTGACAGCTGCATTATGAATTAATGCTTTTCCTCTTTTACTCACTGTCTGAACCTAGACTACTATATACGGAAGTCTCTTCAATCATATCAGTATCTGGCTTTTAACTTGCTGAAAACTATAATTCTCTTGTCATTTACTGTAAAATCATACTAATATTAGAGCAATGATGTAAAAGAATAAGTTTTTACAATTTAAAAGTTTGTAAAGGGTTACTCTGCAAGTACCCATAAACTCTGTATGATTTACACACTTTCAATACTTAGATCAGTGAATGACTAAAAAAATGGATTAAGGTTAAGGGATAAAATCTATTCTTACATTAGAATTAATTAGGTGTCCCTGCTTGAGCAGGGGGGCTGGACTAGACAGTCTCTCGAGGTCCCTTCCAACCTCAACCAGTCTGCGATTCTTTGATTCTGTGAAATTGAGTTCAAACAGGAAGCTATTCAAAACCGTTCACCACATGTGCTATAGCCATATTTGTCACATTGAGGTTTTGCTATTTATGCACACAGCCATAGAGCAGCACTCAAAGTGTAGGTTTGTAACTTATTTTTTTTTTCCTGGATGCCTTAAACTGCCATCCAAGGCTACAGGGTGCTCACTGATCTGTGCTTCCTTTGGAACTGTTTGCCCGTGAATATCACTCCTGTGAAATTCCCCAGGCAGTGAAGGCTGTTCACTATGTGAAATTCACCTTGCTTCGGAACGGGTAGTGAAGGGAAATCCGGACCCCAAGGCAGTGCTGTATCAACATCATCTTGATGTTGAGTGCATGAGATGCACTGATGTTTAGAGGTTGCAGCACTGCCTAAGCCCAGGTCCCAGAGCATCTCCCCACTTTCCTCCCCAAGGCTGCACAGGGGACTGTTCGTGACCAAGGTTGCAACACGAGGTGCACTAACCCTCCCATTCCAGAGCCACATCTTTTCACCCTGTGAGAGCTGCGCTGAGGCCATGCTGAGGTGCCACCTTTGTCTCAAGATGGGGGTAAATGGCTTTAGATCATTATCCCAACTCGCTGCCATCCCACCACATGGCCATGCCTGGGCCTCAAGCTGCTCATGGGCAACACCAGGGTGCTCAAAACCCTGTGTGGCTGGGTGGGCTCTGCACCCGCAGCACCACCACGGCCATGGGACAGGGGACCAAAACCTGGTGCTGCCAACATGCTACAATGGCGAGGCGGGAGCCCACAGCACCAACTGCGGGCAAGTGGCCTCTTGGATCCCCCAGCCCTGCTCCCCTGCACCGAGGGGCAGCTGAGAACAGAGGTGGGACGCTTGTCAGCGAAGCCATCGCGCCACATGGAACACGAGCAGCCGCTTCGCCTCCCAGGGCGGGTAGGAGAGCGGGGCTCCACGCACATTCCTGCGCCGGGCCCGGGGAGCGCGCGGCGCTGCTGTCGCCGTGGTACCGGTGCCACCTGCACACGGCCCCCTCCCCGCCACAAGGCCCCGCCATGGGCCTGCACCCCCATCCCGACGGCGGCCGGGCCGGCTCAATCACCTCAGAGCCGCCGCCCGCGGCCGCCTCCGCCCGCCCTCCTTCCCGCCCACCGGCGCCGGGGCGGGGGGGTCCTCAAGCGGCGGCGCGGGTGCCCGCGGCAGTGCCTGCCTGGCGCCGCGCGGGGGCCTGCGAGCGGGGCTGCCCGGAGCGGTGCCTGCGCACAGGACCCGCCCACTTCCGGTGTGTGTGTGAGGCGGCGGGGGCGCAGCGGCGCGGGGCCGGCGAGATGGCGGAGGGCGGCGCGGAGCGCGCCGACGGGCGCATCGTGAAGATGGAGGTGGATTACAGCGCCACGGTGGACCAGC